CGGACATTTACGCAGTTCTAGAAGAACTCCCACTGAAATATTCAAGATATGAAAGATTTGAAAGAGTGCTAACATCAGGAGATCGTAATATATTCCGGCCTGCTGTCTTGCGCTGTTATTTAAAAGGGAACTAATGGCGACGTCAGCGATGTTGTTCAAGAGACACCAATGAGGAGTGTGATTCATCTCGCACTATGAAAAAACCTTCAAAAATTCCAAAAGAACCAACCTTATCGCGAGAAAGCGCTTCATAAGCGAGATATCCCATGAACAGAAAACGCAGTTGGTGACACCTCTTTAAAGTTCCCGCACCTGTACTAAGCATCACGTTGACAAATTTCAGGATCGTCTGTTAGGGCCCAGATGATTATGTACCGGTAAAAAAAGAATTGTATTATCTTGCGAGTTGTGTTACAGCTCCAACGTAGCAATGCTCAGGACGCTAGGACACTTCACTGTGTTAGTGTAATAATAGAACAAATAAAAAAAAATCTTGAAAAATTGCATGTCACACATACTTATAGACGTGGTTTCTGAAGCGAAATTTAAAAATAACACAGAATTGCATTATTTTTTCCAGCAAAGAACCTGTAATTATAATATTAAGGACAAGAAAATTACAAGGAATTATTTATATATAGAAAGAACCAGACTCAGCGCTACACTTAAGTGTTTTTTTTTTCTGAGGAAAAAAAAGTTCCAGCGTCACACTTAGGTGTTTTTTTTTTCGAGGAAAAAATAAACGGTTACTGATCATCTGACATAGTGGCATGTGGATTTCGCAGGCAACTTGAGTGAAATATCATCTACAATTACACTAATCGTAAAAAAAAAACAAATATTTCGCTTGCTCCTAATGCATCTTCACTGCGCCTTTACAGTCGGGCAAGCGCGAAACCGTCACGTTACAAAATCGCCCAGGGCGACGGCGTCAAAATGTACGCAACAGCGAGTTTCTGTCTGCGTGCATCTCCAAACAGAAACGTCAGTACTCTAGGTGCGTTTCGACGTGTCTTCATAGGCATGTCACTTCGCTATTTTGGGGTGCTATCTGTTGGCGAAACTTTGTCATCCTTGCACCATAGGCGCGAGTAGACAAACAACAAAATCTTCCAAGAAGTTTGTCACTTTTATCTCTGGCCATCACCAGGCTACTGAATTGAGGCTTGAAGGCCTTCAACTTTAAGGTTTCTATGTATCTATATTGTTCAGAGCTTTTCCTTGTTTGTTTTCTAGGCGTGAATGAATCTCTTTGCTCCAGCTATGATCATTTGGGCTCTTGCTCGGATGCTGCTGTTTCTTTATTGCTCGACAGTTTTTCGTCTCCACCAGTGCTATGGGACCAAATATACCTCCTCCTAGACTCTTCCCACCTTTGAAGAACGCCTTTATACACCCCCCCCCCTCTCTACAAATTTCGCTTATATTACGCCTTCTTACTTTGTGCTGCGGGAGCAAACCCAAAATTGTGCCCTCAGTCGGAAAAGACTCATATTTCAGAGATTACTGTAAATCATCTTCCAAGTCATTTCTCGACCCCAAGAGGGCAGAAGGAAAAATGAAGAATACATGGGTGGCTTTGATAGCCCTTGCAGCGTCGTGGATGAGTATGAACGTTTGAAGAAGGCTTTTAGAAACGAATTTGACTCTCGTGGGTGGCGTTATCCGGCTCTGCTCGCGATGACACAAGAGCGATGCGCGAAGACCCGGAAGTCGTGAATTTGCTTCTCAAAATGATCTACGCGCGCATCTGTGGTTACAGCAATAGATGCTTTACTCAATAACGGTACCGAATGACGTATTGAAATGAAACACAGTTCTTCTAAATTGTCTATAAAATTCCCTCACTGTTTGTCGGTTGCAATAGTTTAGCCGTTTCTCAGAGTGGCTTACACGGGAACTTCGGCATCTTTTCGACCATATTGAAACAGCCTTGTTTTCAAATGGTATTAACAGTCCTGTAACAGCTAGCGTGGTTCACTTTGTTGGAAGTCTCATAAATTACTTTAAGTAAGCATTAAAGAATGAGTAAAAACGAAAACTTAACCAGGGAGCTGCTACATACTGGGTATGCGATGACGTCATGAATTACACTACATGCCGCCAGGGGTCACCAGGCTGCAAGCATACGACACGTGCTTCTTCTGCTACGCGAAAAGCAGGCTGGCGTGAAATTAAGTAGTGCCAGCCCGTCTAAAATTACCAGTTACCGTCTGAAATTACCATTCAGCGATCATGGGTCCCATGCAGGGTGGCCCAAGCTTCTCGGGCAGACGAGTTTTTTCCGAGCTCGCTGCACGGCGGCCATGGCACCAAGATACCGCGGAACGCGTGGCGTCAGGAACACATGTTGGGCATTTGCGGTGATTATCAAACAAACACCGCGTGCGTACACGTCACGCCGCCACTCAGTCAACGTTTCCGCAGTGCATAACCATCAGCTTGATTGTCGCGCTTTTTGCCAATTCAACACGAGCCTCCCTGAGGTGCGTTCGTGGGCGTTTGTCCTCTGCCACGGTGGTCTACTGGCTGCGAGTGTATACGCGGCTGTGAGTGAATACGTCGTGCGCGTGGTGAAATTTAATGTGAGATATCGCAACCGAGTGATGATGTAACTTTCACTACTGCGTGCATGTGTGCATAGTCTGCGCCATGAAGCAGATAGATGAACCGTGCTGCTGCTCACTGGTGTTGCGGCGTGAGCACTGCTCCTCAGAGAGAGCAAACGGGGTGGGCGGACCCGATCTTCGCTGCGGGTGTCTGTCAATCAAACTGATTGACGCTTGACCTCGGATACACGTTTGTTGATTATGAGAAGGCCCCAGTTCAATTTGTTACTGTCATGATGCAGGTGCGAATGTCATGCGTTTTATGCAGTGGACGCTAAGCAGCAGCTTCCTTGCATATAAAATAATTTGGTCAGCCCGATACCGGCAAAATTAAGGCCATAAAAAAAGAGAGACACCCCACCCATCTATAATGAAATCAATAAGAACTTCTATTTTTTGCACTTGGTCTACCCCCGCCTATCCCTAAGCTATGCAGGACTATACAACTTAGAAGTGTGGCAGTTTGGGCTAGTTGGTATGACATGACGATAGTCATAGAACGAGAACAGAACTACAACAAAGAGACAAGAGGGACACGAGCAATAACTTCCAAGTGAGTTTATTGCGCAGTAGCCATTGCAACGGAGTTTATACGTTTTCGCATTCTGCGCAATAAACTGAGTTAGAAGTTAGCGTTCGTGTCCTTCTTGCCTATTTGTTGTCATTCTGTTCTCGCGCTATAACTATCGTCAAACTTATACAAATAGAGCTTTATTGAAATCCGCATATACTTCATGTCATATACTCCAATATCTATTCTGATGATATTTGCAATCACAGCGATCTCACTACGGCTAGGGTAAAAGAGATGATCTGAGAGTCCACCATTATATATATATATATATATATATATATATATATATATATATATATATATATATATATATATATATATATATATATATATATATGTGTGTGTGTGTGTGTGTGTGTGTGTGTGTGTATAACGATGCTAATCGTGATGCTACCTTTTCTTTCAAGTTGGCACGCTGCCTTGCATAGGTCTTCAGTCTGGCCTAGCCGACTAGAAATGGGGCGTCCAAAAAGCACGTGATGAAGCTTTGAGGCTGGGCCTTTCAGTCTTGATGCGGGAGTCCAAAGGGCTAATTCAATGTGTTTATTTCGTTTCCATCTGCCGAATGTTCGAAGGCATCAAACGCCGACTTCGTGTGCTGTAATGCCGATTTCTCTTTTTTTTTTCCTCCTCTAAAGCGTTCTCTGTCTCAGACAAATGTTTTATGAGGTGTAGCCAGCTTTAAAAAAAAAAACAGAGATTTGCGAAACGCATGGGTAATTAAGTTGTTTCTTTTATGAGAAATCGTCAATCTTAAATGCACACAAGAGACATGGGGTGGAAAATTGAAGAGCTTATCTTTTATGAAAAAAATTTAAAAAATATACGTTGCATCTTTCAAATCAGAAAAATCTTGATAAAAACATTTACTTGAATGCTGAAGCATTTGAGTGGAACCCTACAAAGTTGAGAAAGAATTTAGGAAGTTAAATTTGGTAACTGATTTTCACAAGAAAATTCTCACGAATTGCTTGAACTAATCCATACCTGTTGCTAACGCCTTTCTGAGATGTCAGTTCCGAGTTAGATCTCAGAACTAGGGTGAATGTTTTCGACAGCTAGGAGCTTTTCTTTAAAAAAAAAACGCATGAGTATCTTTGATGCTTTGTGTTACATACGGGTTGATTTGATGGGCCTTTCAATGGTAATGTCGCAGCCCTTAAACTACCCTGCTGTATTTCTGTTTTCATTAAACATCGAAACCAATCGGCATATGTTTTAGTCTGGAACATGGGTTCCGCAGAGGCTGAAAGCATAAGAAAAGACTGAACAAAGGCAAACTAAGTGTACCTGAAAATGAGCTCTAAAAATGGAAGTTTTCTGCCAATGCAATGTTACTGAAATCATTGCTACCACAACCACCACCACCCGCACCAACACCACTGCTGTTGATACCGCTACCACTACCATTAATACTAATCTGGATGCTAGAATATTACATCTTAACAGTGAAACATTGACAAACTTTTACACTGGTCGCGCACAAAGGCTTCGTGTCAAGCTAGTTACATTTTCCTGTCTTACTTTTTTTTCTTCATGAAGAAAATAATGGCCGTGTTTTCAACTCAAAATGAAAAAAAATCCACCGAAAATGCAGAGAGAATAATAATTTTTGTGGTTCTGTTTTATGGTGCCTATGCGACGAATCAAGAAAGTTACTCCAGATTGACAACCAACTCAATAAAATATTGCTATTTCAAATATGGGCAACTCCTACAGAAATAAGCACTAATTATATAATTTGGAAACACTTATGATGTAAACAATACTGTAGGAGTACTTGGACAACTGGGAGGCACCTAAAAGCACAAACTCACATGGAATATGTTGATAGACTTGCGAAACTCCTCGGGGCGCAGTTTGCTTCTCGACAAGTAGTTGACTAGTGTGAACTCTAGCAGGGCTCCGAAGACCATGACAGAGCAGGCGCCTATCCACACGTCGATGGCTTTAATGTATGACACGGGCGGTAGCTGCGTGCGCACGCCCGACGCAACGGTGGTCATGGTGAGCAGCGTGGTGACTCCGAGGGTGACTCGCGCGGGCGTTGCGTCCACGTTGAGCCAGAAAGAGACCCAGGAGATCATGACGATCAGGAAGGTGGGCAGGTACGTCTGTATCAAGTGGTAGCCATTCTGGCGCTCCAAGGTGAACGTGGCATTGAGGAAACTGAACACGCCTGTGACAGGAAGATTGAGCAGTTCGCGAACGAGTTTGTACGGTATTAAATCTTTCTAAAATTTCGAATTAATTTTGTATGTAACTCACATGAAAGGCTGAGTTAGCCGGTAGGCAAGTTCTAATAACTTCATGCTAAACCTGTTTTATGGTTGTAAAGGTCAAGATAAGGTTCTTACGAAGGTGCTTGAAGTTACGAAAGTCCTCCCTGCAATGGTGGGCTAGCAGACGTGACAGCTTAAGGGTCTACAGTTTGTGTTGTCTGACACATCAACGAACAAAGTTGACGCGTCACAAAGTTGACACCAACAAAACTTACAAATTACTATCCCCACAAAAAAAAAGTTCAAGAAAAGTTCCTGAGGTGATCTTGTAATTTTGAGCGCATCATAAGCTGTCTATGTCTGTCACTAATAAGAGCACAAGTTACTATAAGAATGGCTTGGGCCTTCTGAATTTTCAAAAAACTCGTAGGTATCTTTTAAACATTTTCACATTTGCTCTCAATAAGAACTTATTGTTGAACTAGATGGCTCGTACCTAAACTAACCGCAAAACTATGGTCACACAGAACAAAACACGTGACCGCTACACGACTCTGAACACAATGTTTTCGAAGCACAGTATTTCTATATCAAATAGAGCTGGTGCAGTTGGCTTAGTTTTGTACCAATTAGTATTTCACAGTGTAGACTAAATAGGTTCATAGCTCGAGTAATCATGTTGATGTTTAAGAAAAATACCACGGCACACTTTGTGAAACAGTAAAACAAAGTGAGCATTGTGGTTTGATTGCATTTGGACTGCAGAGAACACTACTAAAATTTTTGCTGCGATAAATAAAAAGAATGTACGCCCCCGGTGAACAAGGCGCTGTTTTGTACCCACCTGTGTCGATAGCCCGGTTGTAATGTCCATACGAGTTGTGTACAAGATCAAACTCGGGAATTTCGATGGGCCGTTCAAGTACAATGGGATCCGTGTCTTGCCATGAAATCGCTGTTTGTTCTATGGTTTGGGCATCTGTAATATATAGGAGAGAGCATTGCAACTCTGCTCTCAACAACAACGCCATTTAGCCGCATTGTTTATTTTATTAGTTCACTATGACCTATGCATCTTTTACTTCAAAGCTTTCCTTTGAAGTAAACAATATTCTGGTTGAAAATTTAACACTAATGTATTCATCTAACCCTAGTATATTGCCTCACTTTTGCAATACTAAGAGCACCTACGTTACAATCTAATATATTGATATTTGATTGCTTGGACCAGACAATGTTTTCAAGCTAGATCAATGTTGCTAACTTAGGGAACATGTGTGACATCTAATAGATCTATTTGTAAACATCGCTTTGAATGCATGTCTTGTAGTACAGTTCCCAGCCGCATCAAACACATTGTAAACGCACAAACACACTAACACTACGTTTAAGCCTTTGCGATAAAAAATACACAATATTGATTTGCTTCCATCTGACCTATATTTATTAAAACCCTGAGAAAGTATTTGCAGAAAGGATTATCATGAAATAAAATATTCTACAGTCTACAATGTGGAAAGTACATGCACTGTGTAAATCACATAGAGCAAGCATCTCAGAGTAAAGAAAAATTGCTTATGATACTACAAAAATTCCACTTAACACAGTCAATCGCACCTAAGGCGTCACTCTTTGATTGCAATCAGAGTGTTTTCTAACTAGCTGAAGCCTAATTATCAATTTCATGCAGCTTGTTGCTTGAAGAGCCCCTCGCCAGGCTCCCCAAAATAAAAAAAGAGCCTTATATTCTTTTCTGATATTTCTCGTCCTTCTTGGCGCACTGCTGTGCCGTAGAAAGTAGTTCCTGGGACGTCTACAGCGTACATACTCTCGATTTGTTGCTATACGCAAAATATCACATGTGATTTGTCCCCTTCACTGCTTTACCATGCAGCCGCCCATCCGTTCTTCTTTGTCTCGCATGAATATTATGCGCAATCAACCGCTCAAACTTCATTTTGTGTGTTTACAACTGCGCAAGCGGTGATAACAGCGTGCAGTCGATAAGCGCAAATTCTTGATAGGCTCTAGTGCTTATAGTGCTGATATGGTTCCCGTGCATTCAAGAACTAAGGGGCGAGGAAGACGCATGGTGTGTATGAAGGAGAGGTGAAAATCACCCCCTCATCTTTAAACGCGGGGTGGTGAGTGGCCCTTCAATAATGTTTACCTAATATTTTCGCAGGAGCTGCGACTACCAATCGGCATTTTCTGAACATATGGAAAAAGTATTACAGAGCCCGTTTCGGTTCACTTGACTTGAGCTCGCAATTCACCAAATGCGCTTCTCATTCACAAGGTGTCACCAGACCCGCAGCCACAGGAAGTTCTCTAGGGACCCTCCCTCCTTCCGAAATGGAAGGTGTGTTTTAGCGAGACGAATATTAGAAAGAGGTGTTCTTCAAGGCCTTCAACGAGTTCCCCCTCAACCAACACGAAAAAAAGATTCCAGGCCACGGGCGTGCGTGTGATCTATTATTGAACGTAATTCAAAGAGTGGCAAGTGAAGGAGACTGCTGCTCACAGGGTCCGAGTAGAATGTGACAGCGTTGCGTGTCCAAGGGAAAATGCCTGAAGGACATGAAGCAGGCGAGCCGCAACGTGAGGCGCATGCTGAACAGCACCTCTCCGTCGGGACCCAGCTTGACCAGCTTGTTGGGAACCGTGACGTAGTGGAAGCTGGCCTCCTTCACGTTGCGGAAGAACAGGTCGGGCTTCCAGATCTTGCCCATGATGTCCTCGCCGTTGATGGTCACCGGAGTGGTCACTCCGTACTTGCTCACGTTCAACCGCAGGTCCTGCCAAGACTGGCGCAGGTAGATGTCCATGCCATATTCCTACATGAATCATTGTGGACCATCGTCATCATCTTCATGATCATCATAATCCTGACTAGGCCCACTGAAAAACAAATGCATTTCCATGTTTCATGAATCGACCCAGCCATGTGCCTGCTGCTTTCCCGTCATACACACATATGTCATACACGCATATGTCATACACGCATATGCATATACACGCATATTTCGCCCCACCCAAGTTCCTGTCTCCTCCTGGCACATTGGTTTACACTTCAAATACAGCCTGTTACCCATAATGACCATTGTCTATCTTCTCGTCACATTATGTGTTCTGTCCCTGCTCATTTTTAACAACCATTCAGTCCAAGATCCACTGTGATCTCTTCTTGTCGCACATCTACCATTTAACTTTGTACTAGTTGGTAACGTGTCGCTTTCTAAAGAACACACAAAACAATAAAAGTAAGCATGAATGCATGCGCGCTATTGCCTGCTCAGTCATCTGTTCCCGATTTGTATCCTCAAGACTGTAACTTTGCCTACTTTTATGACATGTTTGCCATTGGTAGCAGTGTACATTTCCTGATAGGCTAGAGGAAGTGTAACTTCAAGATTGCACACAGAAAAGACAGATGCTCACCGGAAACGCGACACTTTGCGCACCCTCCCCTTTTTTCCTCATTAAGAGCTGTTTAACCGAGACAACGTTATCCGCACCAAAAGCACTTCTGGCGTTAAAACAAGTATGGATCACGACAGCAATGAATAAGCACATTTGGCGCACGACGAGACGGAGTAAATGTTTTTATTCGGAAGGAAGCAGCACCAATATATACAGTCATCACATTTCCTCTTAATTAGGTCTTGGTTTCTCCCCCCTTCCCCTTTTTTTCGAGAAAACAGCAGGACGTCCAGGACGGCTGGACGTGACACGGTCCAGTCGCCAAAGAGGACGAAATGACCTAGAAGACCTCCTTCCCTTCTCGGTCCCATCATTTAGAGCTAGCCTCGACGCAGACAAATAGGCGGCCGCGTGCTTTCGACAGCGAAACGGCATCCGCCGTCGCCAACGCAACGGGGAACCCGTACTCGCTTCTGGAAGGGCGGGCGCGTCACAGGGACTATTCAGACTCGCGCCGGCTCAGGAGATTCTGAACAGGAGAGGGAGGAAAGTAAAAAAAAAAAGACGGATGCGTTGCAGGGGACTCGTCTCCGTCAAGGCTTCTCCTCCCCCCCCCCCCAAAAAAAAAATCGCGAATTGTTCGGCAGTATACGGGGCTGGTTATGTTTGACCTCACCCTCAACGTCACTCTCATTTCCTTGGCGCAGCCGTATCGCTGCTTCCTACGATCCTAAGATGCGAAGAAAAGCGAGAGCAAGCCAGAGTGTACGGCTTCTATCGTCGCTTTCGTCGCCAGTTGCCGTGTTCTTGCGCTTAGACTTATCGTGACGTCAAGCTGCGAGACAAGAAACGATGGAGCAGCCGCGGGTTATTGCTATAAGGTTTCCCCATTTTCGCGCGGGCTTAGTTTTTTTCGGAAGGCGTACGCGACCTTGAACCATTGTGTCGCCATGGCGCTCTCCTGATGAGGTGTTTAAACAACTTGCGAAAAACCGAGGCTGCCGAGCGTGTCGTTAGAGAAGCTTGTTTGCAGTGGTGGTGGTGTTCCTCGCGTAAACCGTTTTGTCGTTTGGTGACATGCCATCCTAGTACTCAAAAGTCAAAAAGATACTTAAACAGTTAACTCCTAGAGACTAAAGAAATGATACACCACGTGATGTGAGCACTGTGTCTTCCTTTATTGATCAATGCGACATGTTAAGTGGTCATTCTTTACTTCGCCTGAGCGTACGACAAAAGAAATTTCATAAAAAATAGCGAAATCGTTTTTTTTTTTGTGACTACAAACGGAAAACGGTTATTAGAGCTCTCCAGTTATAGGCACACACAAAGAAACAACAATAAAGAGTTTGCAACTATCACTACAGAGCGAAACTGTGAGTATTTCCGAAGGCACGCTATCGTTCCTACCGTAAGCAAGGTGGTGCGCAAGTAAAAACAAGAATGGCGTAAAAAAGGAATAGCGAGGCACTCTGTTGTCAACTACGCGACGATTTCAGAAGCTGAAAGTGAGGGTTGGAGATACGCGGAATCACTTTCCAGCCTTTGACGCTCAAGACAAGAAAAAAAAAAAGAAAGACGTACTCGAAGATCTCGCCTAGCGTGGAGCGTCTCAACAGAAGACTGCTGTTCCGTGCGATCTAGTTGCAACAGTAAAACGACGGGCTGTCTTCCGATACACCCCGCACGTCGAAAACGGTCACAGACCTAAATGGCATGCACGTCGCATCGCGTGTTGCTGCCCGTGCTTCGCTTTCAGCACGTGGTTGCTATCTCACCAAGACTGAAATCGCGGCGAGGTCTGACGAAACTCACTCGAGTGTTTCGCTGCCGGTGACTGCGCGCCGGTGTCCCGCAAAATGCGGGCCGTGCAGTCGGAAGACGGCAACCCGGCGCATTGTGAGTCCGTACGAATCGAGAGGATGGCGCTGGACGTGCGCACTCCTTTCTGGCGGCTCTCCTCGTCCACGCAAAACTGCGTGCCGTGCACCGAAGCACGTTTCGCACGGGCGGTTCTTATCGTTGCACTTCCAACAGAAATCAATGCAGCCCGTAAGTGCGCGCGCGTTTGCTGCTCGGGAAGAAGTTTCTGCCCACGGCTGAAGGTTTCACTACGCGCGTGTCCAATCACGCACAAACATTCGCAGGTGCTGCACTTTGTTGAAGTGAAGGTGCGAAAAGATGCCGACTTCGATCGCCCTCGCAGAAAGCTGGGCTTGTTGGTTTCTGGAACCACGAAACATGTTTACTGCGCTAAGGATAAACTTTATTCTCGCCAAATTCACAAGAGAGGTGTTTGTTTTAGTTTCGGCAACCATACTGCTTTGTGTACACTCTGGAAAACAAAAAAATACAATTTAAGCTTCAAATTATGTTTTCCTAAACTGTACATCGAGTAACGGGGATGGCGTTTAGGTTGCCGTATTAACTTTGTCTGCTTGTTCTGCAAAGCATGCTGTCTGCATATTTTACGCGAGTGAACCACAATTCAAGCACAAAGGACAGTACACATTATACGCGATTCATTGGTACTAACGCCTCAGTATCACAAGTATCGTAGGTGCATGACCAGCGCATATTTACTGCAGTGGAAAGAAATTACTTGAAATGAGCGATATCCGCGAATATTACTGATCATACTTTTTAACATTTATAGCAATAGCTTAAGGTATATATTTGATTGGATTGCGCCTTGTGCTCTATGCATCACTTGAAGAGGAATCTTATTCTGCGGTCACGACACTGAATGCCAGTGCAGTTATGTCCACGGTTTATGTACACTTTTGTGCTCCGTTACGCGTAAAATATTCCGTGCTCCTTTGACTCTACTTTTGCCTTCAGCCTTAATATTGTCGTGCGACTGAACCTTTTGCATATGTGACCATTATTTGTCAGAATTGAATTTATAGGAGCTAATGTCTACCTCGTGAAACACCCCATAAACAACACAAAATATAAAATAACATGTAGAGCTATTGTTCTTCAAACACGCCCACAGTCATTCTAAGCTTCTGGTTTTATTTATTTTGAGACGTAATTACGCTCATATACAGTAAAAATCGTTTTTTTTTCATGAGTTAGAAAAAATCGTAATTTAATATGACGGAACCGATTGGTCTTGGAACACTTACCATGTTGTTCGCGTTGACAGGGCCTATGCTGTTCACGTAAATGTTCACTTTGACGTACGTTGGATGCCCTGAATAAAAGAAAGAGCAGAAAGGTGCATAAGTATTTCATTCAGGTGATGCCGGAAAACAGACTGACACAAATGGTGCGAAACAAGGCTCAGTGTTATAGGCTTTGTTACACACACGCTAGGTGCCATCATGAAGTTCATGAATGAGTAAGCAGCGACTACCGACCAGGTCTCCCAGGCTAAAACTATTCGAGCGCCATCATCACTCCATGAACCACCACCACACCAAGCAGACGAGCAAACCGTATATAAATTGGTATAAAACAAAAAAAAAAACCTGATGTTGTTTACCTCAGGTCTTTCGAAGGCCGGGGCTCTGACACCATAGTGACTTTGATGACGAATCCCGATGCCACCTCGTCGTTATAGGGTGTCTAAGTAGCGCCGGCTTATCGCGCGGTAAATACGATTGTACGGTACGCAGCGAGCAATAAAAAGTAAATGTATAGGTGTAAACTTAAGGCACACTAAAATATCAGTGTGGGTTGAGAAAACAAAACTGTTATTATTGTTATCATAGTTGAAAAAAAATGGGCATGTAGCGCGTATGCACGAGAACCACTGGTCGTGGCGTGTAACAGTCTGAACTGCAAGTCAAGGCAAGCACACGAGGGGAAGACAGAAATTTTGGGTGGGTAGATCAGATTAAGTAGTGTGCGGGTACAGCACGGCAGCAGCAAGCACAGGACTGGGTTGATTGGAAGGACATGGTAGGGGCGTTTGCCCTACAGTGGGCGTATTCAGGCTGGTGATGATGATGATGATGATGATGGTGATTAACTCCGGAAATAGTGTGCCATCGCGGTCGACAAGTAGTTAACTTAAACCTGCAAGACCTCGTGTTAGCCACTATGCCCATCTCATAGCGTTACGGTGCGCATGCAAGAACTCCCGCAGCAAACAAAAAAAAAGAAAAAAATGGGGAGGGCCCCTTTTTCTAGAAAAAAAAAGAAAAGGAAGGACGCCTTTTTCTGCGAGAAAAAGGGGCTTGGCGTGAATGAGCTACCCTTTTCTTTCTTTTTTCTGTCGCATTGCACAATGCTTTCTCCTAAATGTTTGATTCCTCCATGCCTCTAATCAGGCCACCACTCGCAGTCTTAGCAGCGCAACACATGTAAATGCTACAGGCAACGACGACGGTCATGTACTCACATCCCAACAGTAACTAAATGTGCCAACATGAAATGAAGTGTGCATTCCCTAAAATATGAGCTTGACACATAGGTAATGGCTGATCACCGACAAGCCCACGATCGAGACACAGCGATTATTCGAAAGCGGCGAACACAAACACACGTGACCTGCACACCTTCAAAACCGCATTTCTGCAGGCTTGCAGGCGCCACGTTGTTCCGTAACTACGCCGCCACCACCACCGAAATGTGCAGCTCATCAGAGGCTACTGTAGCACAAGCTACGGGGTACTGCTGCAGCGTAAACTATGGCAAAGCCGTTTCGTCTTAAATGTACTTCTGCAATAAGGAAGCGTACAAGCTACGTCATTACCGATCCGTGCGTAAGCCGCACGGTAATACCTTCAGTGCTAAATCTGTACGTCTTCAGAGAGGGCTTTTTAACTAATGGACGACGATCATTCTGTCGCGCGATAGTTGCCTGGCTTCTACCTTTAATTTCTTCGTGCCACGCACCTCTGGGTAAGCTCCCTGTTTCTCCCTGATTGCGGGGACGGAAAGGAGCGCGAAGCGGATGCAGTTACTAGCACTCATTCATTCTGGTCGATTGATGGTCGAAACTTTGAACGCAACTTCGACGGTGTCGGTTTCTGAAACGCGCGAGGTAATTGCTTCGCTCGGTAGCTGATGGCTATAGTAACGCCAGCTTGTGCAGTGAGTGAGGCACTCGACATTAACTGAGAAACTTACGATGAATGACTGTGGTTCCCACCAATGTATGACGTCAAAAACTGCGGCAAGGGAGTTTCTAACAAGTAAAGTCACGAGCAAAGAGAAAAGTCAGGAGCAAAGAGAAAAGAGCAAGGCACCACGCGAAATTGCTCTCGGAACTTTGACTTTACTCGATTAGTCGATGGAACGTAGAACACTCCGGAAGCAATCACACATCTTCATATTTGGCTGTTTTTTGGTTACTCAGTGCTCTCACCTAACTAACGCGTAGAACGCTCTTGTGCTCTTCAGGGTTACCTTCTAAAGCTGACGGATCGCTTTTGTCATGAATTAATTTTCCTGAATAATATTAGACCCCGTTCTTTTCGGTAGCGAGCTTTTTTCTCTTGATTTTCGGCTTGTTTCTTTTCTTAGGTACCATTTGCAGTGGTTTCAGTTGTTTAGCTATGTTTGGTTAGATTTGTTACACCCGAATCGCAATTTATCAGAGCAACAATCATGTCGTTGAAAAAAAAAATGGCCCCGAGACGTTGGTAAGAAATTCCCAGTTGCATATTTTCTTCCCTAGATTACCTCTTAGTCGAGCTTTTTGTTGGTACGCACTATTAAGTCAACGCAAGATTCTTTTCCTTTTCTCGCAATCAGCCATGCAATAGGAATTGCGGCTTGTGTAGTTTCTTTTTTTGCTGCGTATGGAAATACGAATGTTAATACAAAAATATTTAGCTGCTCTCTGGTGCTCTATTTGCCCGATTGTGCACACAGGATCGATGCATGGCTAGCGAGTGACCACGACTGCTGTAGTAAGCGTGTTCATGTGCACCTAAACTCCTAACCGCTTCGCTAGTGCTATGATGGCTGCGAAAACACAGCATCTTATATTTAGGTCTGTTTTTAGACGATGACAGATGACACAAAAAATACTGCTAGGTTGTGGCTGTCTGGGTGCGCGTGCTGGACGCTGATATTTGTGTCCCAGCATCACTAGTTTTCTCTTTCCTCCTAGCTTTCTCTATTCTTTTTTCCTTCTCTCTCCCCTCATGTAGGGTAGCGAACCGGGTACATTCTGGTAAACTTCACCGCCTCTTCTCTGCAATTTTTCTCACTCTCACTTTTTCATTATTGATTGATATGTGGGGTTTACCGTACCAAAACCACTATTTGATTATGAGAGACGCCGTAGTGGAGGGCTCCGGAAATTTCGACCACCTGGGGTTCTTTAACGTGCACCCAAATCTGAGCACACGGGCTTACAACATTTACGCCTCCATCGGAAATGCAGCCGCCACAGCTGGGATTCGATCCCGCGACCTGCGGGGCTCTCACTTTTGAAGCGAAGGTCGGGATTATGAGGTTGTGGGTCTGAAAACCTTTAATTTCAATCAATCAATCAACCAGTCAGTCAATCAATCAATTTATCTTAAGCCGATATCAGGATACTTAGCTCTCGTTCCACTTCGGTTATCGCCTGTATTTGGCGCAGTGTGCGTACCCGTTCATGGTCCCGTTAATGATCACCAAACACAGACTAAAAAAAAAAAAACGTACGTTCGCCCGTCTACGATCTAAGGTCTACCAATTATTGCGGCATAGGGAGCTGTTCCCCGTCTGCTTCGCATAAACTGCGTTAAGGTAAAAGGTTCAACAGGCAAAATAGTTTTTCAACCCGTTCCTTGTGATTTGCGCTGTTTAAGCACCATACATGCCTCTCATAACGGGCGATTCCAGCAAGCCGTGAGATATAACAGAATAATTATGCGATGTGTCCAAATTTTTATGGCTGCGTAAGCTGAGAACATTTGTTATTATTATTATTATTATTATTATTATTATTATTATTATTATTATTATTATTATTATTATTATTATTATTATTATTATTATTATTATTATATCACACCTCACCTTTGTCACAACCATAACATACAGCTTGTGGTTCAACTTGGATGAGGACCTGAGAAGTGACAACTGTTGCGGAATGGAACAAAAAAAAAACCTTTATGTTGACCACTGTATTCTCAGTACGTAATTGCAAACTCAGGCAACCACCCCACCTCACCCCCCGTCAACACTTTCATTGCAAATTCACAGCCTGGGACCTCTTCCGTAAGATAAGAGTGAGAAGCACAGAGTACATTAATAAGCCGCCATATGACAAGTGGCTGTCTCAGCTGGTTGAAGACGTCAAGTCGGCCACCAAAACGATACAGATTCATCTTAAGGCCCATAAAACAAGTAAATAGGCTTGCCCACCACTTGGAGGTCAAAAACGCCCTCTTTACCCTGTGGTAAGCACACCGTCTTAATCGAAGACTGCGAAACCGCTTCGCGAGTCTTGATCAGGAAATAAGCGCTCACTGTCTGACGCTAGAAAAACAGCGTTGGGTCGAGCTTCACAATACGATGGATGGAAAGATGAGAGTTGGGGTTAAATATAACCTTCTCAAACGCCTGCTGCAGGAGACCATATCAAACCAGACGCGCTTGGTAGACATAATAATAAACTCAGAAAGGAAGACAAAATCGGATGCGGAAATAATGGAGCATCTGGCACAGAGACACCTCCCTTTGGATACAGCCCGTCCTCCTTCTGGCTACGCGCAATACACGGGATCCCCAGCCTTTGAATTGGGCAAGCCCTTCTAGAAAGCATAGGTTCGGACCACTTTAGCCAATCTTAACGGAAATTTATTCCCGGGCCTCGGTGGCATTACAAACAAGACACTTCGCAAACTAGACAACGACACTGTCATCACCTCACCAAAGAAATAAATCGTATTTGGAATTTGGCATCTTGCCATGAGCATAGCAAAGTGGCGTCGGTTATCCTCGTCCCTAAACCTAGCCGGAGTCTCAGTCTTAAGAACTTACGACCCATTTGACTGACGTCTTGTGTAGGTAAAGTCACCGAACATGTCTGCAACAATCGCATATCGAAGCGCATAGAAAAAATTAACCTGTTCCCGCACATCGTGACAGGTTTCAGACCACACCTATCTACTCAGGACGTCATGAAAATGCTGAAGCATCACATTATAAATCAGGAGACGAAATACGTTATAGCCATTCTAGGACTCGATATCGAAAGGGTCTTTCACAATATCTTGTACTTCGATATATTTGCCTCCTTCTCTTGCTTTAACCCCGGAGCCAACTTTCACAAGTTCGCTAGCTCGTTCCTCAAGAATAGAAAAGCCACTATCCAGCTGGGAGATCTCAAGGCTAACGCTTTGATCTAGGTTCCTTCGGCACCCCGCAGGGCTCTGTCGACTCCCCATTACTATTCAACATTGCAATGTGCGACCTTGCTGCCAAGCTCTCAAACCAAGAAGGCACCAAGTTCACCATCTACGTGGATGACATCACCATATGGAGTGTCGGTGGCTCGGAGGGCTGTGTGAAGAGCTCTCATCAAGACGCTGTCGACTGTGTTAAAAAAGGAAATGGGCCTTAAGATCTCATCAATAAAGTTCGAACTTTTTTTATATCGACCCACGAGAAGGAGACTCAAACTGAAAAACTGGAAAACCACTGGCCGACATCATCGACATTAGGCTGCACACGGCATCAAGGCAGCATATTCGGAGGGTGGACTTCATACGCGTTCTGGACATTATCATGGAAGCTAACGGAAAGAATGGCATCACGATCGACCGTCTGACTTCCAAGGCGGAAGGGGTCATCCGACTAATATCGCGCATTTCTGACAGTCGGAGTGGACTTCGGGAGGACATCCTACGCAGACAGTTTGATGCATTTTTGATGAGCCACATGAGTTATGTAGCAACCATGCACAAGTGGCAACTCCATAAGAGGACTAAACTGAACATACTCATACAGAAAAGAATCAAGAGAGTGCTTTGCATTCCTATGTGCACAATCACTGAGAACCTTATGTACCTTGGGATCCATGACACGCTTGAAGAAGTCATCGAGGCTCAGCAAACGGCACAGGTTGCGAGGCGCTCAGTCAGATCAGCGGAGGAAAATATTCTGGTTGACATTGGACTCACTGGCCTGATGCTCGAAGTGCAAGATACGTCACTGAAGATTGTATGCGCTTTCGCATCAAAGAGTGCCCTCTTCCACGAAATATGCACCCACAGTACAACGTGGGCAGGCGTGTTGCTCGAGCCTCGTCTCTTTTAGCTCACTCTCACGTCCACTGGTCTGCTTGATGCCTTGTCGACGCCGTCCAAACCAGTACGGCGCTTCCGCAAACTTTGGAGTAGTGTCCGTAAATACTAAGGATCTGATTTTTTTCCTCAGCGTTGGTTTAAACCACTTATTACAAAGTCGAGCAGATGGCCATTGCACTAACCTTCCTTGAAACACACACAAAAAAGATATTTACATGGACTCCAAAGCTGCTGCTAGGGCCTTCGCTTTTGGTTCCGTGTGCAAAGAAGATTTTAGAGCTTTGGCTCACAAGGAACTCGCCCACCACACTATTACTTGGTTCCCTGCTCGCCTTGGCTCGATGGTCGGGGGCCTTTTCTATGTCAAAGAGCTAGCCCACACCAAGGCGCGAAGTTTTACTCACCGTGCTGGGACTTGCGCGGCTCAGACAGAAGAATCAGCCCCCAGCCTCTACTTTAGAGATATTTTGATTATATTCGACGAGGTCACAAAATACTATCAAATGAACCGTAAGTTCTTTACACTGCCACATGAAAGGTTGTCTAGGCCACAGGAAATCTCCCTTCGCATGCTTTAAGCCGAAAAATAGCCCAGCCTCAATAACCTAAAATCATTACTCCGACAACTCATAACTTTGTCCAGACTGCTACTATCACAGTGATCTTAGCCACATGCTCGGGAGGTGCCCCTCTTTACAGGGAAAAGATAAAAAATTTTCTGAAAATTACTTTAATTTCATGCTGAAGAGCCTGGTCCTCACCCAAGAATCAAGGCTGTCCAGAAAGCCCTTGACGTGGCGGAGAGGCTAGGCCTCCACATTTCTAATAATAATAATAATAATAATAATAATAATAATAATAATAATAATAATAATAATAATAATAATAATAATAATAATAATAATAATAATCTATCTGTGTAGCAGAACGAATCACCATAGAAGGTGTTCTGTCAAGTTCTGCCCTGTTAAACGCGATGGTGAGGCAGCGCAGTAAGTACGGCGGCTCTTATGTGGATTTTGTCAACTCTAGAAATAATAGTGCAGAAATCACTTCAGTGAGAGCATCTTTTCGCATAAATACACGAGGAAGCGATGTTTAGAAATCATGAGAGTCCTGAATTCCATCGCGGTGTCCTATGAACACAAACACACACACACACACACACACACACACACACACATACACAAATAATTAGCCAGCGTCTTTTTTTTTTTTTTTGAGGCACGTTACATCACCCCACAGAATAGAGCTTCCTGTATTAGGCTCCAAGTGTTGAACAGTGCATAAGCGACAATGGTGGAAGGTATGGCGAACGTGATGTGCTGTTTAAACAGACAAAATCAATGTGGAGCCGCAACTTTTTATTTTGTTTCAGTGTACTCACTGATCGATAACGCGGAACTGCTATCAGCTTAAGCGCGTTTGCTCGGGATATTGCCCTAAAATATTCAGAGACACGGAAGCATGAACTCCAGGGGAGTAAGGTTGACAGTCGAGAAATAGGGTAATGAAATGAATTTTGTTCATGCTTTGTTCTGGTCGCGGAACTATGGTGGGCAGCCTGGTTGCGCAGAGTTTAGAGAACATATTTGTTAAGGTGAGTACGGCCATGAGCCTTACGAAAGTGCGGATGCGGTAGGCAGATGTATATAAAATATAATTTTAAAGGCTTTTGAACATCACCTGGACATTAAAAGAAATAGTAGAGGTTAAATATACGGTTACTGCTGCTAGCTTTTGTTGAGCTTCCCAATGAAAAGACGCCAGTGCTATAGTAAATCTATACAATTTTTGTTTGTGAAGCCAGGAAAAGCAAATGTTTACAAAATGTAGCTTTTGAACTAAAGGGGGCCGAAAGACGTGTGCGCCAAAACTGGGGTGTCTTCGCTTATTCAGGAAATGTTAGAGGGAACTCGACTATGGCACCGCGTGTAGAAGCGCGCCGGGTAGTACTTAACGAACAGCTGTTAAGGCATTCATAAACAAACACATGTAGCTGAAACTCACGAATAGGAAATCACTGATGAGGTAAGTTGGGCATCGTACGCAACTCGTGTTCCTCAAAACATCGCGTTGATTATTGTGTTCACGGACAATTCGCAGCACATCATACATGTAAGATAAATGCGCGTAACTTACGTTTTATGCCAAACATACATTGCCAACGGACATTTTTATTTGCGCCCTATTGAGTGTGACCTCATGTAAGTAGGTAGGTTGCCAAACTGTTAATGGGGGCCACCCCCCACGCAGTGGGAAAGGAACGCCTAGTTCACCTTGCCGTGACTCAATCGGCCCATAAGTCTCGTCTTTCTTGAAAGAGCAGGATTATGGCCATTCTGGATGAAGCTATAAGGGCAGCCAAGGAGTGAGCAGTTGCATTCTAAGAACTGTTCGTTTCGCATTTTTGCTCCCAGGAATCCCGGGACCAGCAGCAAGTCATGATTTCTCCTTAGTTGTTTTTTCTTTCATCTATTGTGAAAGATGTTCTTATAGGATTCAACCGACGGAAATGGGGAGTGTGTGCTGCTATGAAACTTTGCCCTCTCTTCATGACAACAAAGTTTTATGCCAATGAATACGTCGCCTATAAATACGCCCCCCTAGAGATACATCGATTTAGGGGGCTATGTGTTCCGTGTTCATGAAAGACACGCTCAAGTCGGACTGAATCAAACAGATGGGTTCAGAATCTTGGGAAGTTCGAGAGAGCAGCATTCTGGGCAAGATGGTTATCCCTAACTTCAGTATGACTACGCAGAAAAATAAACATGAAGAACCTCGCGCGATAAAGAAGACACATCCGTCTCAGCACCCAGACACACCCTCGACAAGTTCATTCGGGGCGAACCACAATCTATCCACGTGTACCTTGTGCGACGTTCTTTGTGGCATTCGGCAAAAGCATGCATGCGATAAAAAGCCGTCCATCAAGGCTATCTATCAAACTCAATCCATTCCCAAACTTACCCATTCCGTAGGTGGGCCAGGCGCGCTTGTCGTACTGCTCGAGCATCTTGTCGAGGAAGGCGAGCCGCGGAGCAGGCACCGACGGGTCGCCACCTCCGGGCGTCTCGGCCGACGTCGCAGGCACGTCGCTTGTCGCGGGAGAATCACTCTCGCGCTCCACGCTGCTCAGGTACACCTCACTACTGCTACCCGTGCCTCCGGTACTGCTTCTGCAGGTACGAAAAACCCGATTGAAACGTTAGTAACTCCATTGATAACTGGCATCAGGTGTGACTCTAAGTGAACGACCTTCATTTCTTGCTTTTTTTTTTTCTAATACTTCCCTTGGGAACACTAAAGCGCAAAACATAAAAAGAAGAACGTAAAACATACAAAAACGACGGCCGCATTTTAGATGGAGGCGGAAATGCTGAAGTTGACTCAACAGGTTAAAAGAGCGCAATACTCACGCAGGATTGGTTTCATGCAAAAAGGAAAAGGTCGTTTTACTGTCATAGATTTCTTTAAGTGATAAGCGCTTAATTGTCAATGGTATGTCGGCATGCAGTGTACGTTAATTGTTAATGTTGCTAAAGGAGTGTTTCTTAAAGAGTAAGCCTTGTAATAAATGTAATAAGGTGTTTCGAATAGTGGCATCACTTGAAAAAAAAAATTGATGCTTCGATCATATTCGAATCTAAGAAAGATAGTATAGTAACTTTTGCATCAGTGGGTTTTTATTCGTGTCAATTAAATCCAGCAATTTTAGCTTTAAGCATAATTTTATGTGGTGAACCATGCATAGAAAAACCTTTTATAGGTTTTCACAGCTTATTAGAGCTTTTTTTCACGCAAAATAACACCAAAAACATCTCCCCGCACGGTGTATGGGCTCGTTCTCTTCATCTCTCGGTCGCTGCCTTTCAGGACATCCCGTATAAACGAAATGCACCAAGAAGCAATGTCGGTGGCGAATGGCGCTCGCACTTTAATTAAAAAATTCTTCAGCTAATTATCCCAGGGCGGTCGATTTCATCGTTGGCGCTGACGGTACACCGGTAAAGACGGCGTGCACAGCTCTCGCATTGTGCGTAGTGAATATGCTGTTTCTCTCTTCCTTTGTCAAGACATGAACTGGCGGTAGCTTTGCAAGAGCTAATCGACAACTCTTTCTAACGACACTGCGATAGTTGTCAGGCACATAAGGATAGCGGAAGTTGATGTCACTCAAATGAGTTTCTTCCGAAGGATATTCTTAAAGCAGCTACCTTTTTCCCAACATGGCACGTACACAAAGCAGATCGAAGGGGATTTTAGCGAATCCTAATTGCGATATCGGCTACCGAGCACACAGACTCTTCTAACAACCGGCGTAACAGCAGTCATTCGCCTTTACGTACACCGGCAACTTTTTGATGTGCGACAACCTCCATACAGTGTTTAGCGATGTCAGCATGAACTACATGTATATATTCTTCATGCGATGGCCCAAGCATTATGCCACCAACATTATAACTGGAAATCAAAACGGACCTTTATTGGGGTAAATTGCAATATCAATATGTGCTTTCAGATGAAGTGACATTGTTTGTGTTCTCTGATTTTTAGGGGCGAAGCTCCTTATGGCGTGGGTCTATCACTCCTCCTCCTCCTCCGTATGTATGTATGTATGTATGTATGTATGTATGTATGTATGTATGTATGTATGTATGTATGTATGTATGTATGTATGTATGTATGTATGTATGTATGTATGTATGTATGTATGTATGTATGTATGTATGTATGTATGTATGTATGTATGTATGTATGTATGTATGTATGTATGTATGTATGTGTAGCCACCGGTGGCACATACCCACTCTAGAGTGGGTTTGTGCCGCAGGGTTCGTGAGATGGGAGATGGCGCTATTTGGAGTGTTCACTGGACAGACGCACGGACGGGAGCACGGACGGACAGACAGACGGATGTACGGACTCATGGACGGACGCAAGGACAGACGGACGGACACATTGATTGACGCACGGATGGTCGCGTGGACAGACGGACGCAAGAACGAACGGACGGGCGGAAGCCCGGACGGACTGACGGACGCTTCGCCCCACTCATCATCATTCACTCCATGGATATGCTGCGATTGTTTTCCATGTTTTTATGCGCTATCTTCTTCGCGTGTAAGGTGCTTGTTGTGTACGGAGCCTGTTGGCAATCACAGAGCGACGTTGTTCAGCCTTTCCATGGATGTCCACAAGTTTGAAAATTGGTGCACTTATCGATCGCCAAGAAATGTATACTGAGTGATCGACATTTTTTTTTCTCAGTAAGACGGTGCTGTACGACCTGTTTTATGAGCTGAAAGTGCGCCGTTTAAATTTCAGTTGCTCGCGGATCAAGCTATAATTAGTGCGGTTGCACCGGTGCGTGAGCCGACAAGTTTGGAAAGTGGTGATCGGGAAGGCAGCCAATGAGATTCCTCGTCGTCACGTATACAAAGCACACAGGCGTGGTCGCCTTCCAGGACAGGCATTGTAGAACTGTATTCTCGTTCAATGACCCGTCTTTCTCTATCACATAAAAAATTGGCAGATCTGTCGCTTTCCGATTCAGACCTTTTTGATGTTTGTTGTAGCCTCCACGGCTCGGTACTTACCACACTGGTGCAATATTTGCAATATTTTCTGTTGGCACCACGGGAAGATAGTGCACAGCAGATAGGTGGTGACAGTTTCGGTTACTGCCAGCAGTGACGCTTGTTAAATTTAAAAAAAAAATGGAAGATCCCACGTACACTACGAATCGATGTTATGCGAAGCACGAATGACAGCGGTTGATACGTCACTTTAAAAGCAGCACAACATTACGGGGTGGAGGTAAATTATGCTGTACATGACTTTCACGTCATGATTATCACGTTTGACGTGTCATCTGACGACGAATGTAAATGACTTGTCCTAACATGATAATCATGTTTGGACCTGTCATTTACATTCGTCGTCCATTCATGTCACGTAACACCGAATTTGGTATATGGAGAACTAGTGAAACGACCGTGAGCACGCTATGAGCGTATCATGTAGTCATGTTTACATGACAAGCATATATTATTACCATGTATGAACTTGTCATTGCCTTCGTCCGCCTATTCACGTCATGCAGTAACCAAATTATTTGGTATGTGTGGGAGCTAGCGAAAGGCCACGAGCGCAATCATGAGTGTGGCAATGTGGTCAATGTTGTTACATGACCACGCATCCTCTGATGATTATCATGTTTGACACTAGGCACAGTCCCTTCGTACTCCATTCACGTCCCGTGACACCAATTTGGTGTAATTTGGTGAAACCAATTTGGTGGTATAGATAGATAGATAGATAGATATAGATAGATAGATAGATAGGATAGATATAGATAGATGAGGAGATAGATAGATAGATGAATAGTAAGATAGATAGATTAGATAGATAGATAGATAGATAGATAGATAAATGATAGATAGATAGATAGATAGATAGATAGATAGATAGATAGATAGATACGCTCAAAGTCGCCGAAGTTCGCTAAGAAATGCTTCGCATTAAAATTATATCTGACATTCTTTGTGTTGTAGCTGTAGTAGATTGCAATAGCACATAGTAGGCTTTCGGTGTCCCGTAAGTGGTCTTGAATGGGTTGATGCGTAAAAATATCCGCAAGGGAGCCGTTATAGTGGGTAACAACAAACGTCGCGCCGTCACTTTTTTTTTACTTTGATCAAGTCCCTCCAGATGGCGCCACCTACTACCTAACTTCATTGCTTTGACGCTCTCACACCGTCCAGCCATTATATCATCGTTTGAACATCTAGCTATCAAAGCTGCACTACGATTCGGAATGGGTTTCGCTGCGATCGAGTGTACGGTTGGGAGGCACATCTCGTTACCTGCGGACCCCGTAAGCGCAGGGGATAACGTCGCTACACTATGTGAATCTGCGAGAAATAAATACCGCAAGCCTAGCATGCACTCCTTCGGTGAGGGCTCTGCAGAAACCGTGTCTTTCGGAGTGAACGTGGCTTCGCTGACCGTACGAAACGTACTTGCTCCATCGTTCTCTTTCGCGATGTGTTCACCGCCACAGGTTCGTCTGCTTGTTTTTATAATAATTTCGTTCAATATCAAGCTCAGCGGGACCGTTTTTTGTAACTTTCAGTGCCGTGTACTCCTTACCAGTCGAGAATCGTTGCATTTGCTAAGCCTACTCGCTTCGCCGGGGGGCAGCCATGTTGATTTTCATAAGGAGGAACGTGTTTCTCCGTGGATGAGGGAGCAACGTTTCTCTATTTGAAGACGAACATTGGGGACATCGCCGTTCCTCCCTAAATGGAGAGTACGTCACTCCATTTTTTTTAAGAGTGTAGCCACCAGTGGCACATACCTACTCTAGAGTGGGTTTGTGCCGCAGGGTTAGTGAAATGGAAGATGGCGCTACTTGGAGTGTTCATTAGACAGACGCACGGACGGGCGCACGGACGGACAGACAGATGGATGTACGGACTCGTGGACGGACACACGGACAGACGGACAGACACATTAATTGACGCACGGATGGTCGCGTGGACAGACGGACGCAAGAACGAACGGACGGACGGACGGAAGCCCGGACGGGCTGACGGACGCTTCGCTCCACTCATCATCATTCGCTCCATGAATATGCTGTGATTGTTTTTCATGTTTTATGCGCTATCTTCTTCGCGTGTAAGGTGCTTGTTGTGTACGGAGCCTGTTGGCAATCATAGAGCTACGTTGTTCAGCCTTCCCATGGATGTCCACAAGTCCGAAAATTTCTGTTGGCCATTGCATTTTTTCTACAGCATTTACAACTCCTCAATCATTCTGCTCGTGAGAATGGCGCTGGCACCACTGGAAGATAGTGCACAGTAGATAGGTGACAGTTTCGGTTACTGCCAGCAGTGACGCTTGTTAAATAAAAAAAAAGAAAGATCCACGTACAGTAGGAATCGATGTTATGCGAAGCACGATTGGCAGCGGTTGATACGTCACTTTAAAAGCAGCACATCATTACGAGGCGGAGGTAAATTATGCTGTACATGACTTTCACATCATGATTATCACGTTTGACGTGTCATCTGACGACGAATGTAAATGACTTGTCGCAACATGATAATCGTGTTTGGAGCTGTCATTTACATTCGTCGTACATTCATGTCACGTAACACCAAATTTGGTATAT